AGTGTTGTTTTAATATAAACACACTTATCGTTAATCTTAAAACCATTTGACAACATAGTTTTTTCAAATTTTGGCATGCTGTTATTTTGGCGCTTGCTTTGGTCAGTATAACGACTTAACGAGTTTACACACATTTTTCTCTTGTCCAGGAGCAATGAACCCTTCAAGTTGTTGCATGTAAATTTCTTATTCTAACTCACCATTTAAGAAAGTTGTTTTGATGTCCATCTGATGGATTTCCAAATTATGCAATACAACTATTGCAATTAATACTCTAATAGATGTTATCCTTGTCATAGGTAAGTATGTATCGAAAAAATCAAGACATTTTTGTTTGAATCATTTAACCACTAATATAACTTTATCAACTGATCCATCAATCTTTAATTTTCTTTTGAAAAATCATTTACACCCTAACGGTTTGTTACTAGGTTGAAGATCTATCAACTCTCGGGTAAGATTCTGCATAATAGAATCAATTTCACCATTGATAGCCTCTTTCCAGAATGAAACTTTTGGACTAGACATTACTTCATTGAATGTCATATTTTCATTTTCAAACAAATAAGTTAAAAAAATCTTGACCAAAAGATGTAGATGCTTTGGTCTTTTTGCTACGTCCTGTTTCTTCATCATTTTGATGATTACCAATTGCAGTATCATAAATTCATTATTGCGAACTTATTTCTTTCCTATCCTTAGAAGGAAAAATGTCCTAAAAAATACAGCATTCCTAAATTTAATGATAGTATTTTCATGTACATCCGAAATGTCGATCTATGTACGAGAAACCGACAAACACGACTGTCATTAACATATCCAATGAATATGCAATCGATGGTTTTAGACCATATCTTAACTTGTTTAGGCTTTGGTATTTCTACCTTAACCAAAAACTCCCACACTTTTAAGTATTGTACAAAAGTTTTTGACATTTTCATAACTCATAAGGAATTTCGTTCTTACTTTTGTGTGGTAATTTATTTAGAATGTTGTTAGCTGAGAGAATTGCTTCCCCCTACCAATTCTGAGGTAAAGTAGAACTAATCAACATATCGGTCATCATTTCTTTTAAAGTACGATTTTTGCGTTCCGCAATACCGTTCGACTAAGTTGAATAAAGAGTTTTAGTTTGATGAATAATCCTAGAAATTAAACAAAATTCTTCAAACGGTGCTCTATATTCTCCACATCTGTCACTACAAACTATAGTTATTAGACCCGACTCGGACATCGACACGGACAAGGTACTGGTAGTGATGGCAACGGGCCGAGCCGAGCCGGCTCGGCTCGTTGCCCCACGAGCTCGACTCGTTGCCCTACGAGCCGAGCTCGTGGCTCGTTACAAAACGAACCGAGCTTCTGCTCGGCTCGTTTGCTCGTGGGTGAGCTCGGCTCGGCCCACGAGCTCGTGATTCACGAGCCACAAGCCGAGCCAGCTCGGCTCGNGCCGAGCCGAGCTCGGCTCGTCTATGAACGGGTCCGCTCGGCTCGAGCTCGGGCTCGTCTTTTGACGAGCCCGAGCGGCTCGTGGATCGCTACAGTACGAGCCGAGCGGCCGAGCCGACGAGCCGCTCAGCTCGATTGCCATCACTAGGTACTGGTCTCGGGTAACTGGTCGGACATGTGGGTCATTCCATAAAAATCTATAAAAAAAATAAAGTATAAAAATATTTTTAGGCAAAATTATATTTTTTAAATTATTTTTGACTAATTATTTAGATCTATAAAATAAAGTAAAATGTTTTACCAAAGTTTTTATAAAAATACATTTAGAAAACATATATATGATTTATTCGATATAATAACTTATTGCACATAAAAAATATTGAAGTACACTACAACTTTAATGGTGACTAATTGTTTTACTTGGAGGTCCAAGGTTCAATTCCTTAGACCTCCAAAATTTTAAAATGCAATTTTGAAAATTGGTAAACTGACCGGGTTAACTCTGTCAAAATCGTCGATTAACTCACTTAAGTCAATTTTTGACTGAGTCATATGTATTCCTATTAAATTAATCTACTCGGCCCGAGAAAGGGCTCGGATCACCGGTTTTTCGGCCCAGACTGATCGGTCTGGCCGGGTTTTATAACAATATTACGAACAACTTTTATTTGTTTGCTTAGTTGATTATTAACCTCATTATTATACTGTTTAAATGCTTCTAAGGCCTCGTTTTTGCTCCTTAATAAACATACATAACAGTAACTTGTGCAATCATATATAAATATAATAACATACTTTTTACCTCTTCTAATTTGCACAAACTTTAAATCACAAATATCAGAGTGAATTAGTTTTAGAGAATTCAAGTTCCTTTTAACTAAATGAAACAGTGTTTTGGCTAATTTAGCCTCTACCCATGTTTTGCTCACAAACATGTCATTTTTGGTGAGTACAAACTTATCAGGCTTAAATACTAGCATAAACCCATTTTTTGTTTAACAAAGCTCCAGATATCAAGTTTTTACGAATATCGGGAACATGCAGCACATCGATGAGTGTTACTTCTTTCCCCGATTTCATCATCAACACTACTTTACTTAGACCAACAATTTTAGATATTGCCGAGTTGCCTATGAATAGTTATCGTCCATTAATAGGAGTGTAAGGTGAAAAGATCTCCTTCTCAACTTAAATGAGACGAGTAGTGCTAGTGTCTACGAATCACTCTCGGATTGTCCACCACGTTTGCTTCAAATACAACAGTTGAGAGCATTAGTTCAGATACACCGTTAGACAATTTGTCTTCCTCGGTCAAGTGTTCTTGGTCTTTTTTGTTTTGCTTTTTCTATCGGTAGTCATTTACGATGTGATCAGGCTTACCGCGATTATAGCAATCTCCTTTGAATTTTTTGGCCTTACTCTTTTTCTTGCCATTACTCAAGTGCTTCCTTTTCTTGGTGATATTTGGCTCCACCAAATTGACTTTAGCCTCCATTTGCAACTTTCCAAATTTCTTTTCTGAATTTTGATCATCTTTCTCAATTCTTAATCTTACAATTGAATCTTAAAGTTTGATTTCCTCGCGTTTATGTTTCAGGGAGTTCTTGAAATCTTTCCACATTGGTGGTAATTTTTCTATAATCGCAGCGACCCGAAACGATTCACGGAGTTTCATACCTTTTACATGTATATCATGTAAGATGATTTGTAGCTCTTAGACTTTATTCATCACTGTTTTAGAATCTATCATTTTGAAGTCTAGGAATTTGCCTACAACGAATTTCTTTAATTCGACATCTTCCGCTTTGTACTTCTTTTCCAATGATTCACATAGTAATTTAGCTGTTTTGACCGAACTATATACGTTGTATAGTGTGTTGTCAAGGCAATTGAGGATATAGTTCCTACACAAAAAGTCACTATGACTCTATGTATCGAATGTTGCTCATTTTTTATGATCCATTGCCTCCTCAATAGTTGAAGCATCTTCTCTCAAGAATTTTACCAAATTCAGAGTTGTGAGATAAAACAGCATTTTCTGTTCTCATCTCTTAAAATCCACTCCCGTGAATTTTTTCGATTTCTCTTTGTGAGCTTTGTTAGGGAATACGACAGATATAGTATCATTTGTCCTTATCGTTTTAAGATTGTTGGCAATTAATGATATAATCGTGCAATACTTTTGGGCATAATATGACTTTAAAAATAATGAACGAAATAAAATTATAATGATCGGAACAAGAATTCGACTCTTTCTCCTTAAGACGATAATGTCCCGCATTGGTGCTGACGATCTCTCGACACTTGTCTCCCAAGATACAACGACCTCTACTTGTAATAGTAGCATTTCAAATTACAAAACTCGACGAACCTACTATGTCTTTTATCTTTCTAAAATTGGAGGACTAAAATGCACGACAATAATATTCGGAATTGAAATGCACAATATGGAATAATGCAAGATAGGATGATTATATTTTGCAAGAGAAAAAACTGGAAAGATTCTGGAATAAATAAAATTCGGAGTATATCGAAGCCAGAAAGTCCCACCAAATCCAAGTCCCAAAATTGAGTAATATAAAATGGTTTATATTCTTCTTGTTTTCTCGTGTGGGATTGTCATTTTTCAATTTCCAACAAATTTTTATTCTCAATTTATTTCAACTTCAAGTGGTCATCTTTTGACCATAATTTTTCATTCATCCTCAATTGGTTTTGAGAAAATAAATATATTAAATTAATCTATTCATGGAGTAAAACACGTGGCCAAAGAAATCTTTTATCCAACTAACGAGACCTACTAAAATAATTGGTTAAAAATTGGTCAAACCAACTAATTAAAACCAATTTTTCCAACAAGATGGTGAGGAAGGCTTCAAGAACCAAAATTGTCAAGACGAGGACTCGGTAACAAGCAGTTCCTGATTCCAAAATGAGTTTACTAGAAAATTAATTTTCTTCCATCCAGAACTAGGGATTATGTAATACCATCGGAGAATTGTGAATACTCTCTGGTTTATCCTTATAGGAAAGATTTTTACTGAAATTTACTAGACTTGATCAAGTTTTTTCTTGGCTACTTCTGCACACGTCTTTTTCAAAGCCAACTTTGAACTGGTAAAAAAGTATCATATGAAAGAGACTACCAACATACTCCCCAAAAGGCCAACAAGAAATCACAGACAGCTCACACAATGTTTTGCCAATCTTCAGTCAAAATCTCTGTTGCTTTCCCTTCACTTTATCAAAAATCTGAGCAGGGCATTGACTGAATCATGTTTTCTAATCTCCCATCTCCACCCCCACAAAGAAATATCAAGAGTTGTCATTCGAGGATAAATTACAACGACATCAAGCTAGAAATTACATAACTATTTACTTGATCAAAGATTTACATTATGAAAGTAAAATTCTAAAACATCATAAATTAAAGAGGGTGGGCCTACTTTGGCTCCACCCAATAACAAACCTAATGTCATTTGTCGCAATGAATTAAAAAAAAATGTTTACCTTCTTTAATTTCATTCCTCTTCGGGTTTCACAGTTTTTGATTATCTTGGACCAGAAAGTTCCATGCAATGTGCATCATATTCATCATCCATGGACATTGTTATCCCAAACATGCTTGAATGGTCATGATCATTGTCATCATGTCCAAAGGCCATGGTAGGGCGTGACTTGCTATTTTCCCGGGAAAAACTGGTACTGGTATCGATATAGTTATGGGAGGCTGCCCATTTTTCTGCAAGACCATCGCCTTCCAGCATTCGGACCACCTCGGACATTTTGGGACGATGGGCCGGTAGGTATTGAGTACAAAGTAGAGCCACCTGCAGCATCTCACCCACCTCAATCCTGTCATAATTGATCCCCAACTCCCTATCCACCAACAATTCGATTTTCTTCTCTTGATGTATCTTCTTAACCTGCAATTGCACAAGTTCCAACTTGCTTCATCTTCCCATTTACCAAATTATTAGAACTCTTCAACTACGGGAGAAACAGAACTTTTGCAGTGTTAAACAAAATTATAATATTCCAATCACATAATCCCGAAATATCTTGACTAAAGCAAAGAAACGATGGATAGAAAATGATGAAGTACTCACACTGAAGTGACATAACATTGGAAGCATGAAAAAAAATACCATTTAGTAGCAAAAATATTTTACATTCAAGTGTTGAGCAAGGTCTCTTGTAAATTGTAAGTTATTAGACTTTTTGAATTGATGTGTTATAAAATGTTAATTTCTCCTTCTTTGCCCTTCTCCCCCTCATATTCAACCATGCATTCTCCAAAAAAAACAATTTTTTCATGTTTCTCCATATCTTTCCCTATTTTTTAACCAAATTCTCCAAAAAAGTCACTTACTAAATAATCACTTCAGTTAGGCCTACTTTGGCATTTCACACATTAGAAAATGTTCCAATATCGAAGTACATAATGATCAAAGAAAAAGATGTACCCATTCCAGTAACGCTCCTTTCTGGTTTACTGACTTCCCAAACTCCAGAGCTCTCATTCCAGTTATAAGCTCTAATAAAAGAATACCAAATCCGAAGACATCAGTTTTCTCAGATGATTGGCCAGTCGAGAGATATTCTGGCGCAATATGTCCAACAGTACCGCGAACAGCAGTTGTGACGTGGGATTCAGCATGATCAAGGAGCTTTGCAAGGCCAAAGTCACCAACAATGGCCTCACAGTAGTCATCCAAGAGGACATTTGCTGCTTTAACGTCTCGATGAATTATCTTAGGATCACATTGCTCATGCAGATATAGTAGACCCCTTGCAGCTCCAATCGCAATTCTCTTCCTTGTGTTCCAGTCGAGAGCTGGTTTACCTGTAATCATTAATTTAAGAAATGGATTGCAATATGTAAAAGTAAACAGTACCTTCTCAAGCATAAATTTAGTGCATGGTTTATACACAGTAATAGATAATACATAATAGTACATTGGCTTCTTATTAACACGTACATAGATTTTTTATGCTCCTTAGCAAACATGTCACTAGTGCGCTCCAAATGATAGCCTTGCTTTAGCCATAAGTTGATAATGCAACAGAATATTAACCTAACGGTTGGCAATTTTTTTAAGGAGAAAAATAGACAGCATTTTCACAAATTTTGGGCTCATCGTATTGGAAGATTAGTACTTATATGACTATTTATTTGATTAATGTAGCCTTGAGAGTTTTGTTTAACTTTTTCGTCCTAAAATTGAGATTTTTTTTTTGCAACAATGTTACAGGACACAAGATAGAGGAGCATTAAAACTTTATCAATAATGACAAAATTAAGATTTTAATACTTTCAATTTCTGATAAAATGCTGTGTAATAGATTTGTTTCCTGTTCTTAACTTACACCGGGTTGAGGCCCTGATCTAGAAGTAGGCTTATTCACCCCCCACCCAAGTACATAGTTACCAGCATAGGAGAGTAGACAGACAACTACCTGACAAGAACATTAAAGGAACACAGTATAGGTATAGTAACAATTGGCCAAATGCAAGCTTGTAAACAGGCTCTAACCTCTAAGCCTTGATGCCACACTGCCGTTAGACATATAAGGATACACTAGAAGTCTCTCATTCGGTGTGGCACAATATCCAACAATGCGGAGCAAATTCCGGTGAACTGCTAGGCTGATCAGTTCCAGTTCAGTTCTAAATTGTGATTCCCCAGTAGTTCCCGTCACATCCTTCAGTCGCTTCACTGCCACCAACGTGCCGTCCCCCAACTTCCCCCAGTAAACATTTCCAAACCCCCCGGAACCAAGTATATTCTTGGAGCTGAAATTATCCGTTGCATTTTGTAGCTCCCTGAATGTGAAGCCTCTAAGGTTGCCTAACTTTACTAGGTCCTCTTCTTGCATATCTGTAACAAAATTCACTTTTACAACACAAACTGATAGAAAAGATGTTTGAAGAAAAAATAATCTATTATATATCATATTACATTTACACTTGAAGTGAGAAGCACTCACCAGTAATGTATAGAATAGACTGCTTTATCTTGTTGTTTCGTCTCCAGACCAGATATCCTAATGCTAATAGTAAAACGGAGACAACACTAAGGCTGACTCCGAGTGCAATTGCTAGTTTCTTGGATTTGTTTTTTCCTAGAATGTTGCAGGAATGCGAGTATTAGAGACATAATTAGGGTCTTTGCACTTGAACATATTCACAGAGAGAATCATTAGATTACCCGAAGAGGAATTTATGGAGAAAGAAAGAGGGTCGGCCGGGATTAATGCAGAACAATTTTCATTAGAGTGGCTTCCACAAATTAGTGGATTACCCAAAACACTACAACAAAACAATAAATAAATAAATAAATAAAAAGTACAAATGAATTAGTAAATTATATGTTAAACAAATGAATACATACAAACAATCAAGAAAATAAAAGGTAGCAATGAATTAGTAAATTATGTTAACAAATGAATACATCCAAACACACACTTGTTCTACATGAATGTCTTAAATGAACACTTGCCATAGAATTATATTTGACTATAGGTACTGTCATGTCATGTATGTTATCATAAGTACAGAGAATAAAGCTTACATAAATGTTTTGGTAGGAAAGCTGGGAAGAGGTCCACTGAGATTGTTGTAGGACAAATCCCTGAAAAATCCAACAAAAACAGAATAACCAATAATTCACTTGCTCAACCAAAACCTCTATTGCTATATGATTCAGAAAATGTATCAATTATAATTAGAAAACAATTTAGGGCGTGTAAAGTATGATTAGGCTCCAATAACTCAACAACCAACAACAAAAACAAAATATAGGGTCTTACAAAAAATGAACAGAACAGTACTCACAAGAAAGTAAGTTGAGGTAGCCTGGCTAAAGACAGAGGAATAGCCCCACTGAAACTATTATTGTTCAATCTCCTGCTCATTACATGACAAATCATAGCAATAGACCGTACAAACAAAGTCAAAGAAAGAGATGGCACATAATATAAGTTATACATGAAAGAACAAAACAGAAAATTTAAATTTTGCTAGATATAACCATGGAAAATCTCATACTTACAGATATTGAAGACAATTCAAGAAACCAAAAGACTCAGGTATATGACCAAAAAACTTGTTATTGGAGAGATCTAGTGTATGAAGTTTTGGAAGATTTCCAAGCTCATTGGGAATATGCCCAGAAATATTGTTATTTTGCAACAATCTGCATTAGAAAAACATGGGAATTTCAGAATGGAGCCTCAGTGGCTTTAAAATTCACTATAGTAATTAACGTTTGCCAGTTTTCTTACACTTGTCTTAGGTTCGTAAGGTTTGCTATCATCCAAGATAAAGAACCTGATAAACCTTGGCTAGGAGCTCCTCTGTGTCATATAAATGTTAAGAATCCAGAAAAAAAAAAAAAAAGGCGGGTCAATTTTGTATATGGAAACCCCGAAATTAAGCTGAAAACATAAAGACTTACAGGGCAGTGACGACATTATCAGAGTTGCAAGTGATCATAGACCAGCTACAGGGATCCACTGAGTTTTCATCCCAATTGCCAAGAACTCCATGAGGATCATTTAAAGCATCCCTTATAGCAATCAAAGCTTCAACTACAACCCACAAAAAAACATCAAATTTAGTGCAGTAAATTTTACTTTTATGAAGGAAAATTTGTTCAGTGTGTAGTGGGTACCTTCAGGATTGCGGCCCTCATACGCAAGGGAACGACTGAAGAAAACTGATAGCAAGGAAAGGAGGAGGAGGGTGTTGCTTGATATCAGGGACATGATTTTCCAGTGAAAATTATGTATGAAACACCTCATCCAGTGCTAAGAAAGCAACAATAAAGCCAAACAACACACAACTTCTAGCGATTCACTCTCTACGTTCTATTTACTTGGGCTCTATCCATTCAAGAAATACCAGGTCATGATCAAGAAAACTTGGGGAAAGAAACAACAAGGACAGGAGTGTCTTACAATTGTTTCACAAAGATCATGTATGTAGACTGTAGTACTCTCTCTCTCTCACACACACACTCACACAGACATTAGCTCGCGCTCTCTGCTTTTTACGAAGTGGCCATCTTTTTCTTGAATATTTTTACACTGTTTTTTTCTTCTCCAGTCCTTTCCCTGCAGTGAATATAGAATATTGTGGAGCGATGCAAATATGAAAAGAAGGGTGAGAGGACTAAATGAAAAGAGTGCTAGTTGTGCCTCTGCACATAAAAGTGTCTGCATATATGTGTTTCTTTGTTTCACAACTTTTCCTTTATCCCTAATCTTTTTCTTTGTACAATATACATAATATTTAGATTTTCCTTCATAGTTTCTTCTTTTTTCACAAATTTTGTATGGGGCTGTGTGTGTTTTTGTGGGGTTCTCAACTTGAGCTTTTGCTTTTTCTCACTTTTTTAAATTGCCATTTTCCCGATACTGTGTGGATGTGAGAGAGAAAGAGAATCAGGTGGGGGCTGATATGGAGATGTCAGTGACAGGGAGTCAGGGAGAGGTTGGAAGCTCAGAATTTGAGAGTGGCTGCAATTTGCCATGGGATTAATTCTCTATCTGCAAACACTCTAACCCATCACTCAATCTCTCTGATGAATTGTTGTAACGAAAAGATCAAGTGGAATAATGGGCATTTAGCAAGAAATGCAATGAAGTTGGATTTTGGGAATTGATGTGAGATTCAAATCCCAGTGGTGTTTGCTGCAGAATCTGTGTATTTTTGTTCCTTTTGATACTAAAGATTGGACTACACGGTGCCCTCTTCCAAGTTCACAACGCCCCCTAATTATTACTCCTCCTGTCTTTTCTTGTTTTTAACTCTATTTTTAGAAAAATATAAATAAATAACTTCTCGCTGGATCGTTTCTCGTGTTCGGAAGGAGTGCTTTAATTGAAACTGAACCTTGAAAATTTATATGTAACTAAAATAATTCCATTTACAAGTTAATCGTAATTTAATGAATGATTCTTATTCTTGAAATTCCGAACAAATTGACCTAACGAACACTCCTAATTGTGTAAATTTAGAAAATGTTAATTTTTATTAAAGCAAATGTTCCAAATATAATCTATTAAAAGAGAATGGATTTTTTTTTTATTTGTTTGCATTAATCATGCCACACATTTTATTTAATTTAAAAATATTTTAGTATAGAAGAGAAAAGATAGATGGAGACTAAGATTTTAGCTGGTTCGATAATAAATCAAATGCTGTAAAAATAATAATCATGTACCTGATTTTAAATATATATTTTTAAACACAAATCAAACTCATCTATCTACAATATTTAGCTGATGTTTGGTAAGATTAAAATCGAATTTTAGTAAATTTTGATAAAAATTGATAAAATGAGTGGTGACAAGGTCGTGGACCCCATTAAATGTGTAGTTAAAATTAATTATTGACTTTAGATTTTAATCTGAACCAAACGGGGACTTAAAAAGTGGGATTGAAGAAAAACTTTTGAAAGACAATAATACCCTCATTAATTTTATATAAATCCCAATTCATCTTTCAATTATTATTATTATTAGAATTTGAGAAAATTTATAACCCACTATTCAATTATATATTATTTGAATTTATAACACAATATGGGAGAGTTTTGGATGTGAAGGGCTACTTGTGTATCTCTTTATTTTTTGGTAAAGTAGCTAAGTATGTTGCGTATTTCTAAAAACATTTCGAAATGTTTCAAATGGTGTAGTTTCAAATGTTTGCTATTTTCGTCTATCTTTGCATTATTTGTTTTGCTTAAAAATGATAACAGTAAAACATATCATGTGCTTGTATCAGCACTTGAACGTTGACAGTTTGAAAATTTTTGCAAATTAAGAGTAGGCTTAGGCCTACTGTATGTGGTTTTCTATGATTGCATTTTATAAGTTTTTTTTTTTTTTTTCTTTCTTTCTATTATTGCTTATTTGCTGCAGCTTTGAGATGGAATAAATAAAAAGGAGATCCCCTTGACACATGAATACAAAAGATTGAATATTCCATTTTTTATTTCCATGGCCTAAACAATATCAAAATAAGTCTTATTCCCAATAAATTCAAAGTTGGCTACATGAGCCCTCTTTTATCATTTTGGTCGGTTCAAAATTTGAACAAAGTTATGTTATGGTTACCAACCCTCTTCTTATACTAAAGCTAGGGACTACCTATGAAAAACATTGATGGAGTTCATTTTGCCCAAAATTTTTTAAATATAGGGTTTGTTTGATGGATATTATTAAGAAAAGAATATATTTTAAATAGTGATATGACATGAAATATGCGGTCAAAAGATAAGGAAATGTTATTGATATGATGGAAAATATTATTTTATTGAAAAATGTGTGATTAAAAATGAGTTATGAAATAATGTTTTTTGAAAGAATGTGTATCAAATAAGGGCATAATTAAGCAATCAAACACAAACTAATACAATCATGTCCGAATGTATAAAACGAATGGAGAAACTAAGAGAAAAGTTATATGAGCCTATGACATTAATAAAGCAGATTCACTCCCTTCCCCTTCCCCTTTCATTTGTTATGCCATCATCAACGGTTCCGCTTGAGACCAGATTTTATTTTTCGAATGTTTTATAAGTTTTGAAAAACATATATTTATATAATTGAAGCACCAATGGCCAACAAAAATACAATATAAATTGTTGATAAAACTTTAAGAGATATGTTGGACAATTCAAAACCATTTGGTAGAAAAAAATTGTATTCGGAGGAGATTTTTGTCAAGTACTATTAGTCATCCCAAGAGCAACAAGACAACAAACAATTAACTGAAATTTAATTAGGTCGTATGTTTGCGAGAAAATGAAAAAGTTACATCTAAATCAAAATATGTGTGCTCAAAATGTCAATCAATTTGCACCATAATTGATCCAAATTGATAATGGAGCAAAATCTTACATAGAAGACGATTTCATCAACTTACCAAAGGCAACTATGTCACACTTTCTCAAAGAGTTTCAATGCAAATAACAATTTTTTTGGTAAAAGTAGAAATAAATATCATATACAAAGAAGTATTATTGTAATCAAAACATTACATTTCTGTTTACTCAACCTTTTCACATTATATACATAATTTCATAAGAAAATTTATTTATATATTTTTTTAATAATTTTATTTTTCCTTTAAAAATATCAATTACCATAACTATTTTCAAAAACAATATTAATACTTCAAAAATATTACGCTTATCATTCATCTGATATATAAGACGTGCAATGCACGTGCTTACTATTAGTTATATTAAAATGTCATTGTGCACCATTGGAACGAGAAAAGAAGGGATACGATCGATCTAGGTCTAAATATCCGAGAAAAAAGTAGCAAAATTACACTAGATTATGAGTGATATGAAAAATAAAATAACAAGAATCATATATTACATTTTTTTTTAAGAGCTTCAATGTCTAAACAAACTAAAATAGTCAAAGAAGAGAGCCGTAACGAGTTGAGTTGTTGCATAGTAGTCAAAGCATCAACTGATGTTAAAGTTTGGGATGCAATAGATTTGTTTCTTCGGCACTTTCACCAATAGAATCTTCATGGTATTTAGTTATTGATGATTTACTAGTAATTTTCACCTAAAAGTAAATTGTATCCCTGGGCATATTCAAAGACTTGTCTATCGCGAAAGAGAAAAAAAAAAAAGTTAATACACTTTGAGAATCTTATCAACAATATCTATGGGACGAATAATTCTTTTATTGGTCATTATCTTCATTCTTCCGCATTTTAAAATTTCCATTCTACAATTCGGAAAGAATTACACACCTTTTCATCACTCTACTTTTTTTCTATTTTTAATTTAAAATCATCGAATTATGACAAGTGCCAGTAGATTAAAATCAAAGGAGTCCCTTTTCGACGGTCCAACAAGTCATCTCTTGAAAGAACCTTCATCCCTGCAGTGCGCTCTTCCTTGAATTATTCTAGTTGCAACATCATGAATAAATCATCGAGAGAAAAAATTAAAATAACTCAAAACTTCACAATAGATTACAAGACGATTGAGTGAAAATCTTTTATTATGATCGTATTATTTTGAACTATTATGTCATAAATAAGTGATGCATGGGAATTGGCAAATTGAAATCTTTGTGGAAGTGCGTTTATTCTTCCACGCGGTAGTAGAAGAGATTTTGCCTTTGAATTCGATAATTTTAAATTTAAAAGCCATAAAAAGCATAAAGCAAATTCGGATTTCAATTCAAAAGCAAAAGTAGCATTGGCACCCCACTCCCCATACTAATCTCTTATTTTCGGTTTCTACTTATTTTTATTTAGTGCTGCTTTTTGATTGTGAAAAAGCAAGTCCGTCGGTCCATGTGCATAATAGTGGTACGAGGGTGGAATCCAAAGCCATGGGAGAAAAAAGATTTGTTGGGAGATTTAAGTATTAAAAGGAATTTATTAAAAACAAATTAGCAGTCAGTCAGTCGGGTAATGATTGTAAATTCAGTATTGCCATCATCATTATGAAGGATAGATTGACTGCTAATAGTAATTAACTATTTCTCACCCAATCTCTAAACCAATCACTCTACATAGACTAGCTCAAAAAAGGAAACATGTCAATACATAATTGGAAAAAAAAAAAACTCAAACAAGTGCTGCCAAGTCAATATGTTTTTTCATGTCTTTGAACCTGTTCAATCATCATTACTGATCTCTAAAACACATAGAATGGAAATTGGACTTTTAACTTTTAACGTTTAAATCCAATTTGGTAGAGATTAAAATTCAAATTAGAAGTTAA